TGGTGGAATGGTGGTGGATCCGCAGGAGCTTTGACTATGAAGAAGAAGACAAAAATTAATTTTTTAAAGAGGAGGAGAATAAAAATCTAGTAAAATGATTTTTCTTTTAAAGTAGGACCCACAGATTACACTTGTCAAAGAATAAAAGGTTTAGTATATGACGTGTCAGTCATGTCACAGCGAGTGAAGAACACATTCAGTCGGATGTGTTTATTAGTATTCAGTTCATCAAGTAGAGGTGTTCAAATGAAAAAAATAAAATTTTTATTTTACCGACTTGACAAATGAGTACAAGTTTAAGTGGCCGGAGGCCATTTTGCCTATTTTTTAACATTGAGATGTTCAAAACTATTAAGCTTTCTCAAGTTTGGGACCAATATAATGCTTGACAAATACGCTAGGAAACCCTTTCGGAACTTCTCCTTTTTAATAGAGAAAAAAATCAAGAAACTATTTTTCAATGCAGGACATGGGTTAATAAAAATTTTAGGCGGGCATATAGTGTCCTTTTTCTCTTTTAATAGCGTCCATAATAAGTCAATCATGGGCCGTAAAATACCAATCCACAGCCCAACAAAGCGCTTCGAGTGGGCTTATCCAAATCCACGTGGTGCCATTGAAAATGGACTGAATACGATGTATGATATGTGAGCTATTTTCCTAAAGAATTAACCTAAATAATCGTTTACCCAATCACTTAAATTAAATATAACTGGTGGATATATAATATTTATATATTTATATATAATTATGTATAATTAGTATATAATTTATGTATGCCAGTTAAAAAAAGTAAATAGTGAATTCGACCGGCTATTGGCATAAAACTCCCATTTTTCATAAGGGATTTTTACATTCATATGCCATATAGTAAACTATATTACCTTAAATGTTCATGTTTAGTAAATTACCTTACCTACATAAGTTTGTTTTACAAAATATATAAATTCCACCTTAAAAGGCTCTCAATCCATTATTCGTGCCTTCAATTAAGGGATTTAGTTACACCATTTTCCTTTTTTTTCCTCTCTCCCCTTTCTTTCCAGATCTTCCCTTATCTTTTTTATACAAAATTACTCGGAGGTTTTTCTCACCTTGGCTTTGTTCGTTCTTTTTTTTCTTTCTGAATTTTGAGAACATTCTTTTCCTTTTTCACACAGGAATTTCTGAAGCTGCTAAAAATTAAAAAAAAAAAAAACTCTTCTTTACTGACACTAGTTTTTGTTAACAAAAACTATGGTTACTTATGTGTAATGTTAGTGTAGTTTTGAGTTAGGTATACGTCTCCATAAGTTCGCGAGGACAAATTGAGTGGATTTGAGTTTTCATCAATGAATAATGGTCCCTCTCTTGGTTCATATTGTATCATATCGTCTACTACTATTTACTTAGCAAATACGAATATAATAGCTAATTTCACTTTCAAAGTTCCAACAGCTACTACGACGTGTTTATTTTTATACATTATTTCTACACAATTAAATACAACTACAATATCATACAACTTAAATACAATTTTTATATAAAATTTATACAATATATCTTTTGTATATTTTGTATCTGATTTATACATAATAAAAATAAATTTCATACAACTAATTATATATTATACAATTTATCTACAACTTTCACACTTTATTTCTACCTAGTTAAATGCAACTGCAATTACATACAACTTAAGTACAAATTTTATACAAAAATTTATACAATATGTCTTTTGTATATTTTGAATTTTTTTATACATAGTAAAAATAAATTTCACACAACTAATTATATATTATATAACTTATCTACAATTTTCATACATTATTTCTACTCAATTATATACAACTACAATATTATACAACTTAAATATAATTTTTAAACAATATTGTTCAACTTTCATACAATAGTTAAATAATATATATATATATATATATATATATATNCAATTATTTGCAACAACACACAATCCAAACAAATAATGATTTTTGAAAATCCAAATTCGAATTTAAAGCTTCAAAGCTTTTTAATTGCTGTCAATGGTGGAATTGTTGCTCTCTTTTCCTTTGTTTTATATTACTGTAATTTGGGATTGAGAGATAGAGAGAGACGTAGAGAAAATTCTCAATTATTTGCAACAACATCCAATCCAAACAAACAATGTCTTTTGAAAACCCAAATTCGAATTCAAAGCTTTTTATTGATTGTCAATGGTGGAGGGGTTACAGATTTTTGCTGGTTTTAAAAGACGAAATAGTGGGCGATTGAAGAGGAAATCGTGGGGTGTGGTTTGATACGTGGGTGAGGGGGTGAGATTTGGAGAGAGAAACTTTGGAGGGAGTGGAAATATGCGGTAGAGTTAAATTAGAAGACTAATTAATTAATACCATTAAAATCCCTAAAATGTACATAAATAATAATTAGGTATATAAACGATAATTATATTAAAAATTAAGCATAAATAATAATACAATCTACTATATGACATAAGAACGTAACAATCCCTTTTCATAATACAATTGAGCCCATAAAAAGCAGCGGCATCATCACATAAAATCATGGTCCACTGCAAGAAATATTCCAATTTTTCTAAAATAGTATAATGCAAACTTGATAATTGCTCAATGTTGCTGATATTTCAAGCAAAGTCAGTTTTGTTGGATTTGTTGCACAATCTGCTTTTTATTTGTTTACTTGGTAATAACCCTATTGCTTTTCTTTTTCTTCTTCTTTTCTTTGTTTATTGGTTAAGGAAAGCCTAAAATATTACAAAAAGGTTCATTCTATGCTTCTTCTTTTTTTGGGTTTTCCACGTAGTGTTTGGTATCCACATTAGAACCCGACTATATCCGATTTCGTGTCGGTAGGACCCCATTTGGAGGTAGCGTTCTCTACCAAAGATTTTTTCATACCCAAAACTCGAACTCGAGACCTCTGTTAAGGGAAGAACAATCTCATCTGCTGCACCACATCTTTTGGTGGTCATTCTATGCTTCTGCCTTGTGAGCTTTCTTCGTTTAATTACTCAATTTAAATATTTTTTTCTATGTAAAACACGTTAATTTCTGTCTTCAGTTAGTAACTATTTTGTAACCCAAAAACATATTACATTTTCATTAATACTATCCTATTTTTATATTTATAAACGTAATTATGAATTTTGTAGCAGAGGTAGCACTTGTTTTAATGGTAAGATATCTGCATTTCATTAATATTCTTACCTTGCTTAGAATATACTATTTCCAAACCCGTACTCTGATTCACCATTAATAACGAAAATCTCACACACTTGCCACTAATTTAAGTTTCAAAAATGAAAAATTATTATTGAGACATTATTTTTTGTCCAAATAAGTGATGGGCAGGATAGTAATTTGAATAGTCAACACTTGCATCTTTGGCTAGATGCATCTAAAACGAATCATAACTAAAGTCACGCCAGGAAACCGAAAGCGCCGAAACTGATGTTGTAGATATTTATCTGCAGATCCGCGCTACGTGTCCTCGTAATTGAAAATATCTCACAAGCTTTTCAGATATTTTAACAATCCTAATAGCTACCTGAACGGCTTGTTTGGATGATTTTTACGTATTGTATTGTATTATATTGTTACTAAAAATAATATTTGTTTTAATTATTTATTTAAAATTAATTATATCGTATTGTTAAATTTATTATTTCGAAATAATTAAAAGCCCTATTTTTTTAAATAACAATTTGGTATGGTGAGATTGTTTTCGTATTTTTTTTCCAATTATACCCTTATTTATTACTCCATAATTCTATTTTATTCTTTATTTATTTTTTATTTTAACTCCAAATCTCCAACTTATTGACCTACTTTATCCACGTCCATCTTTTATAGACTTGGTTCATATTGTTCTTTTCATCCAAATCTCTGTTCGTTTCTTTATCTCTTTCCATCGTATTAGTTTTTTTTTTTTTTGTTGCTAATGATAGTAAACTTTTTTCTTCAAGTTTTTGCTCTTGTTTCCAAGCTACATAATTGATGATAAATTAGTAGAAAGACGTTTCTTGAATTATTTTTATACGTAATTCTTGATAAATTTTATTTAAAATAATTAATGATATTTTAGTAAACTTATCAGTTACAGTATAGTACGATACAGTCAAACCAAACAATAAAAATATTATTTAACAACAGCAAATGATGCAATATGTATTATAAAACGATGGATAACAACGATCCAAACATAGTGTATGTTTCTAAAATCAGCTTATCTTACAAAATGTATTTTTCAAAAGTGCTTGTTACAAAAGCATTGTGATGAGAAATAATTTGTATTTTGCTATTTAATTTGAAAAGTATTTTTAAGCAACAATTACTAAAAATTATTTTTAAGTGTATTTTTCTAGAAAATACTTTACAAAAAAATATTTTTGAAAAAAATTACTACTTTTTTTCTACTTCTCAAAAATATTTTTTAATTCTAAAAGTTTGGTCAAACACCTTAAACTCCGAAAAAAATACTTTTAGTCGATAACAATATCTCAAACCTAACCAAAAATCTCCTCTTTACCCAAACCAAACGGCCTTTAATGTACCATAATTTCTATTGATCCTTAAAAGTTACTCCCTCCAATCTAAAATAAGTGATTTTTTGGTTTTTTTTGTGGTCCAAAATAAGTAATTTTTTCAAATTTCAAGAATGAATTAATTATTTTTTTCCTATATTGTTCTTAAAGTAAATAATGTTGGAATATGTGTTAGAAGTATTTACCTGAGATAGTAAAAGTTAATATGATCAATTTTATTGCTAATTAATGTTAAAAGGTGAATTTTTTAATCTGCGTGAAAACATTCAAAAAATCACTTATTTTGGACCGGAGTGGGGAAACATTATCTCAAGCATTAATCACCACATCGTAACCATTGTTAGCTACCGCCTACCAGTGGTTATCCATTACCGTCGCAATCGGTAACGACCCCCTTCCCGGTTAAAATTAACCGCCATAGCATAAACTTTCGCCTATAAAAGCCAGCATTTGCTACCCATAAAATTCACATCAGCTCTTCTCTTCTATTAATTGTTTACATTCATATTCTCTCTTAAGAAAAACAATGGCAGCTGAGGTTGAGTACAGGTGCTTTGTAGGTGGGCTGGCATGGGCTACCACCGATAGAACTTTAGGAGATGCTTTTGCTCACTACGGCGAAGTTGTCGACTCGAAGGTCCGTTTGTTGCACTGCAGAGCTGAGATCGGATCCGAGCCGATCTGATCATTGATCTCTCTGTTACTGTTACTGTTACTTTCACTCTCTGGTTTACTTGATTCACTCTGTTACTATGTTACTATTTGTTACTGTTACGTTATTCCGTTCCCTTATACGGTACGTTCCGATCTTCCATAGATTTGAACATTGATCGCTTTTATATATATATGGAAAATTCGTATTTTAATTCACGAAAATTAGATGAATTGTTCACTTGTTTCCTATTTTCAGTGACATAATTTATTCTTGTAACGGATGGAGTATTATTTCTATATACCATGCATGTTTAAATCTGTTTGTTTTTTTGTTGTAATTCATGTAGATCTGTTTAGATCTGATCTTTTACGGATTTTGATTTCAGATCATTAACGATCGTGAAACTGGAAGATCAAGGGGATTTGGCTTTGTTACCTTCAATGATGAGAAAGCTATGAGGGACGCAATTGAAGGAATGAACGGCCAGAACCTTGACGGTCGTAACATCACCGTTAATGAAGCTCAATCACGCGGAAGCGGCGGCGGTGGCGGTGGTTTTGGAGGTGGCAGACGCCGTGAGGGTGGATACAGTGGTGGTGGCGGATACGGTGGCGGCGGCGGCTATGGAGGTGGCAGACGTGAGGGTGGCTACAGCGGTGGTGGCTACGGTGGTAGTTATGGAGGTGGCCGTGACCGTGGATATGGTGGAGGTTATGGCGGTGGTGATGGTGGGTCCCGCTACTCAAGAGGTGGTGGTGCGTCCGAGGGAAGCTGGAGGAATTAATAAGATTCTGAAACTGGGTTTGATTGTGTCAAATATATGTCCTCCTTTAGATAGTTTTTTTTTTAAAAAATAAAAATAAAAATTTGGTGATTATGTTTCTGGGTTGGGTAAGAGTCTATTTTTGATACTGTATTTCGTGTTACTGTTCTGGTTTCTCGCTATCGGTTCTCGTTATGTTACTGTGTGGATCTGTACTTACAAGGTTAAATGAAAGTTACCAATGATCACTCATTTGTAAGTGCCTAAGTATTTAAATGCTTTTTTAATTACTCGATGATTTTTTATGTAATTCCTTCAACCGAAGAGTTTTATGTACTTCCTACTTGAATCAAAGACTAGTCACTCGGTTGTTATTAGCTTATAATGATCATTTCCACCTCCAGGAGGGATTTGGACAATGTTGGAAGAACAATTGAAATTTTATTATAAATAGACTTTTATTTAAAGTTTTTTTTATAAATAAAGGTATTCTATTCATCATAATTCTATCTCAAATCGATAGAATTCGCTCTTCCTTTTTTTTTTTTGCAATATTTTTTTATTATTTTATTTCATGTTATTAGCACGAGACTCTACCGTATCAAGAATTTCTTGAGAGATTAAGCAAAATATGGATATCTCATAGAGCAAATTTGGATCGAAGTTCAATTGTAAAAATATTTGTTTAATTGATTCATGTACGATACATACAATATTCAAAGAGAATATTTTTTTCTTATTAAGTATGTGTAAAGCAGATGTTACTATAATTTCTGATAGTAGTAATCTGATTGACGGTTCTGGAAGAATTACTATAACTCTGCCTAGGGGAATAATAGTTATCATAGATAATACTTCTTTTCCAAAGATCAAGAGAACTTTGTTGAGTTTTAAAGATATTCGCCGAAATGAATATCTTGAGAAGTTCACATCTTTATTTTGTGGTTTGTATTGGACAATAATTAGTGCAATTAAGGCACGTTCTATCGTAAACCAATTACTGACTTCAATACTTTTGTACTTTGGCATGATCGATTGTGACATCCTGAAGTCAATTATGATGAAACTAATTATAGAAAACTCAAATGGCCATCCATTAAAAAATTTAAAGATTTTTTTAATTAATGAATTTTCTTGCACTTCTTGTTATCAAGGCAAGTTAGTTATTAGACTATCACCAACAAAGGTTGGGGTTAAGTCCTCTCCGTTTTTGGAAAGTATATAAAGGAATATTTGTGGACCTATTTGTTTGACCAAAAAGTGTTAAGCCTTTTTGTTAAACTAATTAAATAAGATGGTAACAGGTAAATCCTAGTTAAACATAATAAATCCTAGATCTGAAATCTGTTGATATGAACAACGTATAATTGCACTTAAACCAATTTAGTACAAAGGGATGTTTAATGATATTGTTATGAACGCGTGGGGGAGTAATGACAAGCAATAAATATATTAAATAACAATAAATGTAAACAAAGAGAATGATTCACCCAAATATTCAATGAGGTGGATGATTCTCCCTCTAACAATGATTTAAGACAAACAAACGTTGGAATATAGAAAATTTTCTCGGATCTGATGCGAGAAAGTGTAAGATCAACAACAAACTGAATCTTTTTGTAAAGACAATGTTTGTAATCTTCTTCCGAGTCAACTTTTCATGAGAGAACTTATCATATAGAATATTACATGCCCTTTCTTCTCTCTCTATTCCCACTTATATGGGACATATCTCTTACCTAACTGAAAGTATAAGTGCAGAGAATATTATATAGAATATTTCTCTAAAATATCTTATTATTAAACTAGATGTTTGGGCTAATCTCAGTACTCGACCTCGACCCTAGCTACTCAGCTCGCCAATAGGTTCCTTCTTAAGCACGACCTCGGCCTAATCGGTTCTTAGTTATCCTCTCTTAGTCAAGATTCTCTTGGTTAGATTTCGACCCATACAGTTAGTCCCTCCGCCCGTCGGGGTTATTTTTAGACAAGCTCGATGGACGGACTTCGCCAGTTGCAATTTGAGAAATCTGAGCATGTTGGCCAAGGAGTAACCTTTTTATGGCGAGATGACGACGTGACGCTTTAAGAGCCACATCTGACCGTTACGTCAGTTTGAAATGACATCACTACATCATGTGTCATTATGGCGTATGTTCTCAGTACGTTACGTCGTTTCCCACGCCTCTTCCGTTTTGAAATCAATGTGGCAGCGTTTGACTTTCTCGATTAGGGTGCCAGTATTCTTATAAATAGGGATGAGAATTCCTCATTTGAGCTGCTCCATTTCTTAAGCATTCGAAACTCCAAGCTTCCCCTTCTTCTTCTTATTCAGAATTCTTGCATCTTTATCTCTCCCTTCTCTTAGCATTTTCTGCCATTGTTACCCCTTTTATATTTGCACTTTCTTCTTATATACGTGATAGAAAATGGCTAGTGCATCTTCTAACCCTGAGGGAGATTTTAATCTTGTCGCGTCGACTGTGGACATACCTTCTCATGAAGAAGGAGTGGCCATTGTAGAAGATGAGAGTTTCCCCACTATGGATGAGATAGTTCCATGTTCGGGGAGGGTCAGGTCGGATTTCAAGAACCGACCTGAAGATGATCCTGAACTCGTCGTTTCTGAGATGGATACAGTGGCGCTCGTTGCATTTAGGGCTAAATGGCTAATTCCAAACCACGTTGAACTTATCCCTGCCGGTAACGACGTGGAGCAGATACATCGCCCAGGGTACTGCGCGTTCTACATGTATCTGTTTGTCGTCGGCTATATGCTTCCTCTTCCTTCCTTGGCGGAGGACTTCTACCGCTATTATGGTGTATGCCCGGCTCAGCTCTCCCCGTACATCTATAAGCTTTTCCTTATGCTTATCAAGTACGTGGAGCTCGCCAACCGTGGGATTTCTCTCCGTCATCTGCTGCACGTTTTCGCCCCAAGTGTTTACAAGGGTACGATGATACACCTTCTCTATCGTGGGACAAAGGGACTGGTGGTGAAGATATATGATAAAACAAATCGCCGTTTTGGGTCAATTTCTTCTACGTGAGGATGGAGCACGTGGCGTCGAGCCCTAATGGGTTTTTCGAGGAATGAAACTTTGCTCGTAAGTGTTTCTCCCAAATAGCTGTTTGTTGTTTCTTTTTGGCGATCTGATCGTTCTCACTCCTCTTCTTTTTTATGTTGCCGAGAAGGATCCTCCTTTGCTGGTCACCGACCTTTGTTACTGGGTGAGCCAAATTTTACCTCATACGATGGGGATCCATGAGTGGTCGCAGTTCAATGAGAGGTTTGGGCGCAAACCTTCAGCCGGTGAGTCATTTCACTTCGATCTTAGTAGTTTTGACCTTCGTACCGTCTTTTCTCTCCTTTCATTTTTTACTTAAGTCATTCTCTTTTGGTAGGTCATAGGGCCTCGAGGAGCGCGAGCACTCCTACTCCCACTTTTCGCTAGTCAAGTACTTCGACTGGGCCTTTACTCGTTGCGGCTGCAAGCGACCCCATTCAGACTGTTGTTCCTTCTCGGACCTCAGCCTCGCGTAGGCCTAGACTCTAGGCTGCTGCCCCACTAATGGAGATTCCGGCTTCTTCAGTGTTTTATTTGGTGGATGAGTCATCGCAGGCCGATGAGGAAGAGGCTATGCTGAAAAGACAAAGGATAGAGGTTGACGACGGAGTAATCGAGGAGGAGGAGCCCGCGGGGGGTAATCCCGAGTTTACCACGACTGAACCGGGGGGCGATATGGCTTTGGACATAGAGATCGTGCCCCCGTCAAATGTGGAGATTGCTTCCGTGGAAGGAGGGGAGCAACCAGAGGCTACTGTGGTCATTCCGAGGATTGATCCGTCAACATCAGAGCGGGTCGATGTTTCCTCCTCGGCCGAAGAGAGGGTGAAAGGAGTGGTCGTAGACGATTATGAATCCGACTCCGATATCGACCCTAAGGAAGAGAGGGTATTAGACAAAGAGTTTACTCGGGTTGAGGTGAGAACGGATGGATCATCTCGTTCGATTGTCATATATTTGGACTGTGACTTACTAGCTGATACTGTGAGCGTGGTCCCTTCTTTGGCCCCTCTTTGTTCTGCCGCCGAGAACAGGACTCTTCAAGCTCTTAAGGATGCCGACTTGTCACTAGGCATATCTGGGATGGCTCTGAGGGTGAGTTTCTTTCCTCGTTACTTTTGCACTTTGCGCCCTTCTCCTCTTTTTATCTTTACAAACTCTTTTCGGCTCTTCTCTTTTTTTTTCCTCTTTTTTAAGACATCCATTCTGGAGATCAAGAGTGCCCGTCTGGAGGAGAAATAGAAGGTTGTTTTACAGAAAATGGTTTCGAAGTATCTCCAGTATTGTGACAAAGTACAGTGAGATGCGTGCACGGTTCATAGTAGGCGGTAACCTCTAGTCCCTTAGAGATGAGTTGGACCAGAAGGATGAGGAGCTCGTGCGGACCATCGGCAGATGTAGTGAGCTCGAGGGGGCTCATAGGGCCAAGGAAGACGAACTTGAGGTGAGCAAGGGGTCGTGGCCGAGTGTGTCAACCTTAAAGTGCAAGTGGCGACCCATGCGAGCCGAGCTTGAGCAAAGCTTGATCAGAGTTGCCGGTCTGAGTGGTGAGTTGATCGAGAAAGTGATAGAGTTGGAGAGGGCCGAGGAGGCCCGGGTAGCGACTTTGGCAAAGGTGGCGGCATTGGAGGACTCCATCTGCGTCCTTAGGTTTGAACGTGCAACTGATGCGGAAACGGCTGTGCTAAGAGAGGCAAGGCTTGACGAGCGAATTGGTGGGCTCGGGAGAGATGTCTTGAGCTCAAGTGATCAAATTGCCGCTCTTGAGGCCGAGAAGGCACAGTTGTTGGCTCGACCGTCCTCCTCTTATACTTCTGCTTTCCCCAACATTCCTTGGCATTTGTATGAGATGTGGATCCACGTTGAGGCTCAGCTAGACATATATAGGAATTTGATGATGGCGGGGAAGGTTCCTGAGGCCGATTTTGAAGATGCCCATTTTAAGGCACATGACGCTAGGATTGCCTGTAGTTATGACCCCACTACGCCGGGGACCGGTGATGGTGAAAAGGACTTGGACGGGCTTGCATATGATGCTTGGTATTATGATGACTATCCCGATGGCGGGGGTGATGATGGAAACGGCACTGCTGGTCTGGGCGGTGAAGGTGGCAAAGGCGAAGGCGGAGATGATGTAGCGTGATGCTTTTGTACTTAGTTTTTGTTCTTCTTCTCTTTTTTTGTGGGGGAG